AATAATTTATTTTGGGTACTTTTTTTGTGTGGGCCAGTGGTGAGTGAAAATTCATTCTACCCAGGCCTTCTACTACCCAAAGAGACACAGTAGACATTCATCTGATCAGTCAAGACTGGATCCAAATCTAGTTCTGAGAGGCAAAAGGACTATAAGCCAAACAGTCCTCTGACATGCACAGTTCTAATCCAAAAGCAAAATCCTCATGACCCAGGAGATACAGGAAATCCCTCGTCTAAATCCGATTATGAACATTAAACTATCTGGCTTCCACTGATTATTTCCAGTTCAATAAAAGCATAATTGAACCTTATAGCATGGTAAATTCGGATTCCAAACATAAAGAGGCTTCCACAGAAATTTTTGAAAAACAAAATTACACAATGTTAATGTATCAAATATCAAATGCAAGCATAAGATTTGCCTATAAACCTTGCCGAGCCTAGCCTTGTCTTGCTGAATCTTTTTTCTTTCAAACTTACGTAGTTTCAGACCATTTTCCTTAAATGTAGGAATAAATTTCAGAATAATCATCAAGTCTTTCATTCTGCCACATGAATACGAGTACTAAATAATTCACTTGATATAGTACCTTATCACACCAAAAAGTCTCAAAGACCTTCACACAAATAGTTCCTTAGAAATGTATTGACTATTGTTACGTCAGCAAAGGTAGCTGATCTGTGTCAACTTTTCACAAACAGCAATGAAATGAACAATCAAATTTTATCTTTTTGTAAATTTACAAAAGGGAGGACACTGGCTGTTGAAGCAGAAAGCAACAACCTATTTAAGAGTCAACTTGATTCATAAAATGAAGGGGAAGGGATATTAGGAGATGATTGGATTGGGTGAAGCCAATGGGACGTGGTCTGTGGAAGGCATGGGCTTGATCAATCTTGTGGCTTTTTCACATTCCAGAGTTTTTCCAGCAAACTGATAAGTCATTATGTTGCATCCAATAAGTAAACATGTCAGGCACAAATCACTTGGGTCAGAAGAAGTGAGCGATCAGAGGGATGTGTAATCATCACAAGGTTGAGACAAGTCTGAAACTTTTTTTTCCAGGATCACAATATTTCTCATATCTTTCAGCACCACTTGTGCTGTTGTCTGCAATTGGGGCTGAATTTGTTTCTTCCCACGTCAAAATAGTTCTGACTTTCTTTTTGTTGTGCATACCTCCTGTCAGTTTTGTAATTGCGTGAGGAAAGAGGACAGAAGTTCATTAGCTTTGCCGTGCAGTCACTTTGAGCAACGAATTCAACTTTCTTATTCACTTACTCAAAGAACTAAGTACCTGTGGCATGTCACATCATCTATCATTATAGAGTCAAAACAAAATGAAAATTACAATGTCAAGGGCAGAAAGGGAAACATTCTTCAGTGAAACCATTTCCCCTTCCAGTGGAGACTGAGCAGTATAACCTGACTTAGAAATGCATTGTGCATGCATAATAGTAAAATGCTAATGGTTTCTTAAAATTGTTTCTTGTTGATGATGCTATTAGAGAGAAAAAAAACAACCAAATGTTAGCAATTACAATGACAGTTTTTGCATGACAGATTAGTCTACGTGACTTTGGTCCGTAGTTGAACCACCAGAAAAAAACTGCACTTGTCCATTTCAATAAGAATCGTAGAATATTATAGCATGAGTGGGCCGCTTGGTCAACCAAGTCCCTGTTGGTGTTTTCCTCTGTATGAGCCACCTCAGCTTATCCCATTCTCTAATTCAAGCATCTATCTAGTTTCTTTTTTTTAAAAAAATGGATGGTGCCTCAGTAGAGGAGACGTTTGAAATGTTCTCTAATCTCCTCTTTATTTCTGTTAGTAGCTTAAATTTTCTACTTGCCCTTTTATTTCTTTTGCACTTAACTTAAATTTGTGCACTCAACGTTAATGTCTCACAGGCCAGTAAAAATCATCTACTGTATTACTGTAAATTTCAGACTGAATATCAATGAAATGATGATTTCTCCAAATCATCTTATCATATGAATTTAAAAAGCAGTTGTGATCTTAAAAAAAACTGTTTCTAAACCAATTTATTTAAAACAAGACTTTGTTTCTTTGATTTAGCTCCTCCTTCTGATTGTTTGAGGATCTCAGTTTTGCCCTCTCTTTTTGGTGATCCTAAACTGGAAGTCATGTTTTGTTTATATTATGTTTTTTGCAACAATTTGCAGAAAACATTATGGCAATTCAATGCTAAAATTGGGTTTCAAAGTATCAATTACAAATCACTGAGCACTGGAGCCTGGTTGTTGAAACTCCTTAGAGGAGGTGTTTTCATCAGACATTTATTTGCAGTGCTACAGAATAAATGTAAACTGTTTTGGTCACGACACAAAATCATCTCTTGAAACATCTTGGCGGGACATTGAGGCACCCAAGAACTTATAAGAGATTATTTTTTAATACTAATAAAGAACTGATCAGCCTGAATCAGTGGTTTCACTCTCGCCTTTGAATTATGTGGATTCAAGCCCCATGTTGGTACTTTGAATTCTAAGCTGACATTCCAGTGCAGGGGGAAGCACTGCATTGGATGGGGTGCCATCCTTCAGACGAGATGGCAAATCGAGGTCCTATCCTTAGCCAACAAGTCCCCAGATTGTTCATTCATTTATGGCTACTTGTTTGGCAGGTTGGCTGCCACGTTCACCTACAAAATGCACAGTCCACACTTTACAGTAAATCCCGTGAAGCCCATTGAGCCAACCTCTCATCATGAAAGATATGGTATCAAAGGCAAGGATTTTTATTATTATCATCATTATTTTTATGATCAGCTTTTTTGATAATTTTGAAAAACTAGCTGCAATGCAAAAATTGTTTGGTGCTGATGAACAGAGTTTCACGGATGGGCATTAAGCAAGCGCTGGCCTATCCTCACTCCTAACCAAGCAATTTCAGAGCGGGAGAACTAAATCAGGCTTCTCACTGCGTTTAACTTGAATACTGAAAGTAATGGCAAATGTCGTCTATCGGTACAAATTGAAATTTTGGATTGAATTGTCTGCCATATGTTTGAGTTTCGTAAATTCTCAGTTCAAGGTTGTGTAATCTGGTACATAGGGAAAAACGTAACCTTTCTGGAAGAATAATGCACATTGGCCATTAGCCTGGATAAGAGATCCACCCTGTCCAATGAATAATTCCATGCTGTCTGATGTTTCCATTATGGGGAATAGATTGGATAAATGGCATGATGTAATGATCCCAGTCAAATAAAGAGTTTCAGTGGACTTCTGTATAAATTACAAAAAATGTGTCATGTGGAATCAGTTTTTGTCGCTGCTGAAGTTGTTTTAATTTCATCCATGCCCATTTCAGCACTTGGTCTAACTTCAATTGAACATCATCTGTTTTGTGCATTCATGACTAAAAAAGTACATCACAGAGAGGAGAATTATTCTGCAGAATAGCTTTGGCAACCAAACTGCAAATTTATACTATTTCAGAGGCATTTAATTGAGAACAAGTTGAAGGTGTCAGTTTGCAAAGGGTAGAGCTGAGGAATGTCCATTTTAACCAGATTAATTTTTGGACTGTGGACACTATTATCTGGTCAGTTGGCAAATATCAACTGCCAATAAAGAAACAGCTAATTATTATCAGGCATGAATTCTGTGAGGTCCTTTTTTTGCCTGTTTTGCTGGAAAAATATTCAGATGCCAATTTTTAGTAAACAATCTGTGGGAGAGAAACTTGTTTTCAATTTGTGCAGTACAAAAAAAATCTTTTAAGCATAAAACTAAGGGTAAAAATGCTGTTGGAAACTTGAAAATGCCACAAAAATCAAATTATTCAGGTGAAAAGTGTGAAAAATCTCAAAGTGCCCTACAGGATATACTGTAAAGTAGATTGACTGTGAATTGTGTGCAAGAGGAGAATTGAGAGCAATATAACACAACAAATCTTGATGCTGAAACAAGGACAAAAGATGTGACATACAAGGCTCTGACAAAGTGGTCTTTTAAAGCCAGTGTGGCAGACCTATGGGGAACTGATTGAGAACTGATAAAGTTTCTCATTCCTATGGAGGAGATTTAATAATTGATGGTCCTGCATTTAATGTATACAACAAATCATTGTATACACTAAAAGTCATTTCCAGAACTCTCCATACACAGCCTCCTGCCTGGGTTCAAATCACACACCTCCAGAAGATCTCGATTTATATTGCATGAATGTCATCAGATTTGTTACAACAGGAAAATGATTCAGTTTGACTGCTGGTAAATGAATTCCAATATTCTTTCCTTTAACAGGAGTAGAGTTTAACTGAAGCTGATCTCCTGCTGGCAATGCAACAATATCACTTCTAGCAGCATAGGGATGTGTAATGGGACATCTGAATTGTATGACCTGCTCTTTATCACATTGGCCAGTGCCCAGGAGAGTGTTAGCACAACTATCCCCAGTGTCCTTTATGGACTGAGTTTTCCAATATTATGAAACAACATAAAAAGTGTTACCCAATTAACTATTGAATAACATTAAAAACAGAAGAGTGCTTTTATATCGCACAGTGAATTGCCACAAAAATCATGCTCACTCATACTTTGTGTTTATGAATACTCAATATTGGAGGCATTTTTGACAAACTGGTTCATTAAGTCAATACTTTGCTACCTATTTGTGCCTTAGAGCAAGGCAAATGTGGCAAATGCACAGTGTCCATTGCTCGTTTGTTCAGTGAAAGACCATGAGACAGAAGGAGTGTGGAATACTACGAGAGAGAGAGAGAGAGAGAGAGAGCAAATTGGTCAAGGAGATGGATGATAACTGAGCACTTTAACATATTGGTTTTGGACATTCAGAACTCCTTTGTATTTAATCTTATGTTCATAGGAAGTCACTGTAAGTCACTTAATCTTACACCGATTATTTCAAATGAGTCTTGAGTTTGGCTTTGTGCAGTATAAGGAGAAATTTCTGAAGAATTTTTTTCTTTCAAACATTAACTTCTTTTTCTCCTCTTTTCCATTCAGGTGCTGGAGTCGCACTGCAGTTCTCTTACAGCTTGCTGAGTTTGGGCCTGATCCTCGGTGCCATCAGATGCCTGGAGCTGTGATTGTATCCAACTTTATTTTCCCTTTACATCAGTAAAAGAGCACTCCCTGAGGTGACTGAGTCGTCTCAAGCCAGTAAGGACCTTGGCTCATTCCAGACATCTCTGGTACCATCAGAAGCCAAATATAACACTTTCATGAAATTCAAATTTGAAAGACGTATTGTATAAATCAAGAAGACAGACGGCATCAAGGAACTCCCCCTGTTAAATACCAAGTAAACATAACATTGGAAGTGAATCAAAGGAATTCTTGTGACTTGTTCCAATATGCCTTATACAAACACTTACTCCAATCTACTGCAGTTGCATGATTTGGTCTAATGGTGCAAGTTACAAGTGGCAAAATACCATAGCTTAAGAGTTCTTCAAGGGAAATCACTCAAATCACCATATGTAGGGCCTCTAATTTTTATCAAAAATCTGTTAAATCTTCTAGACAATGAATGCATTTATTGTATAAAAACAAGCGCAAGGTTAATCTTGTCTTATACCAAGTGTCTGCGAGCAGCACTGTTCCTCAAAATTGGCTGCTGCCAGTGTCCCCATGAATGAGAACATTCTATTCAGAGAAACAGTCATAACAAATATAACAGTGGAGTTTATGGCGATTGTACCAGATTTTTGCAACACTCTAGGTGTTTGACATCAAGTGCACTTTTTAGTTACCATATCATGCATGCTGGCCTCAAGATGTCCTACAGCCTTATTTCTCAGTAGGATGACTTCTTTTTGACGTTGAGCAATACAATAAAATAAAGTTTAAAAATACTGCTAATTACGGTACTAATTTGCTTAACTTTTATTTGGTTACTTTTTGTGAGGACAAGTAAATGATGCATTACATATTTTAAAAAAAGTTAAACTATATTTTTATTAACATTTTCCCTTTCAAAAGTCTTTGAGATTCTAAATAGTTACATATGTCTTATAAAACACTATAATATCCATTACACATCTCCTGGAATTTAAGAGAACCATTGTAGGATCTTATGAAGTTGTATATGCCAAAACATCTTGCAGAATTTATGCCTAGAACTTGGAATCCAGTAGGATTTTCAAATGGGATATCTCATGGATATGTTTTATGATACATTATTTAAAACAGACATTAAATATTTAGTTTATGATTTCTTCAGCTTATTAAATAATGGTTATTTGCAATTCAAGTAACCTGTTTGGATCCCTTCAATTTTTCTGCATCATTTGACATTCTTGTCTTCTGCAATTTCTGGTCAAACATGCTCTGTGTATATTTGTTCAAACTCCGTTCCCTACTCGTTTCTTGACTGAATCAGCCTCCTCCTTCTTCACCAACAATGGAGAGACGATCCTACAGGGTCTAGTTCACGTCTGATCTCAGGTTCCCAATCTTTGTTCTCATTGGAAAATACTCTTAATGGAAAATCTAACAAATAATAACCCTACCTACGAGTGTAGTAATATAATACAGCATAAATATATGCGGGGGAGGGGTGAGGGGGTGGAGGGTGAAATCATCTGACAGAAATTTAAAAGGGAATCTCAAAACATTATTGGATGTTTAATGCACAAGTTATTGTACAGTTACGAGATTGTCCTGTTTTGTATTGTATTATCTTTGCTTTGGAAACTGGCAGAATTTGTACCTTTCTTGGAGTGTTGAGAGTGCTGGAGGCTCAAGATACAAGTGTATTTTGTAACTAAACGTTGTGGGTTTTACACATTTAAAACTAATTTAAATGTTATCCTATTTGGAACCATTACCGGTCATCATGTCAAGCACCTAAAGTGTAGCACAGCCTATGAATGGTAATGCAAAGTGCTGAAGCAGCTGCCAAATGCCTGAAAAAGTAACGCTTTTGTTCTGACTGTGTCTATGAAATGTCAGTGTTACATGTTGGTGCTGTGTGAGGAATATAAAGTCCATTTTTGATTCACTTGTCAAGTTAAGATTGAATGTGTGACTGTTAAAGATACGCAAATGATGTCAGCAGGTTAATATATTAGTGCAATGTAACGCTTAAACAGGTAATAGCTTTGAATGAAACTTAGCACAAACTTGCTAGATAGGGATAGATTTTCTCTTTTAGATTTCATGCTGCCTACAAGCTTCTTCAGTAATAATTAAAAGATGCAGAACTAGGCACTATGGTATGTTTAATGTGTTTTCGATGGTTTTAATATGTATGGTTTTGCACTATGTCATTTTTAATATAAATCAAATGTGTTATTCCGAGTTCAGTTAACTGGTAGTCTGTCTACCTGATTTACTTTCTAATGTGTGCACCTCACTCCTGGTATTTCTTTCTAGATCACATTAATTTGTTAAGACTGATCTCTGGAAACATAAATAAATCAAAATATATTCCTGAAAGTTGAATTTGCTCCTATTGGTTTTGTGATCATTTTGTATATTCAATTTTGACAATACTATGCCTAGAATTTACAATACAAATTACTTGCCTGCTTTGTTTCATTTTTTATTGTGTAAAATCAATTAACTCTGTATTGGTGCTTCCTCCCACATCTTTTGGTGATAAGTAAACAAAAGTAATCGGATTAATTGCCACGATGCATGAATGTCTTTTCCTATTAAAATCTAAGATATTCAGATCAAAATTGGTATGTTACATTGTTCATCAAGTTTCACTGGAAGGCAAAAAATAATCTTTTTTGCAACTTTCTTTTTCCAACTAACAGTGCTACTGCGGTTAATATAAACAATCGGGAAGCATAAACTGCCTTTTTTGTTACAAATTGATGTACAATTTATGGGGATCATCAATTCACAAAGTATTGTAGATTAAAAAAAGAAAAGTTAACAAACATTAGCTTTCCGCTGGTTTCTCATACCAGTTTTAACTGAATACTGGAACTGGTGTATAATGGCTGTTCTGAATTAAAGTTTATATAGACAAAAAACAGTGCTGTCGTTTCTCTGATTTTGTTACTCAAATAGACAAGTTATCTGGTTTCATATGAAATAGCTTTGAAAGAAGGTATAGCAAACTGTGTCAGAAAAGCAGGAAAGATGGAGCCGGACAATGCAGTTTAAGTTTGACAAAATGTTAGTACATTTGGAGAGGAAGAACAAAAAANGCAAATACATTGCAGGTGGTTTATTTTACTTTCCGATTTTGTAAACCATGTTTAGAATTCGGTCAAACTGTGTGAAATAAATTTCCAAATAAAGATGTGAGGCTGTTGACTGTTTCAGAAAGGATATTTCAGAATCTTAAGTCTGCAGCTACATTGGAAATGCACCAGAAATAGAATTTTTCAGGTGGGTGGAGAAGCATTTGTGAATGGGCAGAAACACAATATTAAATGAAGCTTTCTCACTCTTTTTCTTGTGGAACATTCCTGTGTTCAAACTGTTTTTGCCTTAAAAACACAGTCACTTATGGGAATTCCCTGTTTCTAGGATGTAGAATGTTCTGCTGAGTGCGGTGGTCGAGGTAGGATCAAGACTTAGCTTTCAAGAGTCAACTGGGGATAGATATCTAAAACGGAGTAATTAAAAAGGAGTATGTGGAAAATGAAGGAAAAATGGGACTCAATTGATTTGTTTCAAAGAGCAAAAGGCACGATGGGCCAAATGATCATCTTCTGGGCTGCAAATTTCTACGATTTCCTCTTTATATGTTCGCAAGCATTTCCAAATCAAGCGAATATAAAAGAGAATGAAAAGAAAGGTTGGAAGCAGACCTGAAACAGAGTAAAAGAAGAAGCACAGCCATGGGGCAGAAGCGAGATTGTCCGGTCACAGTCACATGAGATATGTGAAGAACTTCCTATTCAACCTCCATTTCATCCTGGCAAATGGTTTCTCCTCCCTCCCCCGCCCGGTCACCTGCGGGGTACCCCAGGGGTCCATCCTTGGCCCTCCTCCTTTCCTTATCTATATGCTCCCTTTGGACAAAGTCATCCGCAGACATGGAGTAAACTTCCACATGTATGCGGATGACACACAAATCTACTTTGCTACTTCCAGTACCAACTCCAGGTCCGCCGATGTTCTATCAGCTTGTCTGGCAGACATCAGGGCCTGGATGAGTGTAAACTTCCTGCAGCTGAATGTGGAAAAGACGGAAGCCATACTCCTTCACTCCTGGGGATCTGAACTCCTCAACTTCCCTGGTCTCTCCCTCACACTCACTGAACCATAATCTAGGCGTCCAGTTTGACCCCCAGCTCTCCTTCCTCCCCCACATCCAGACCCTGACCTAGACCGCCTTCTTCCATCTCCGCCACATTGCCTGCCTCCAACCATACCTTACCCCAAATGCAGCCGAAACCCTCGTGCATGCGTTTATCACTCCTGCCTAGAAAACGCACCTCTCACTGGTCTCCCCAGCTCCACTATTCAAAAGTTCCAGCTCATTCAGAACTCTGTTGCCTGCATACCTACCCGGACCAAACTCCATACCCACATCTCAGCAGTTCTGGCCAGGCTCCACTGGCTCCCCGTCTCCGAACGGATCGACTTCAAGTTCCTCACATTCGTGTTCAACTCCCTTCACTCCCTGGCACCTCCCTGCCTCTCCGACCTCCTCACTCTCCAATCTACCACTCAGCACCTCCGCTCGATTGGCACCGGCCTCCTGCTTGTCCCTCGTACTCTTCGCCCCACCATCGGAGATCGCATTTTCAGCCTCTACGTCCCGAAACTCTGGAATACTCTCCCTCAATCCCTCCGCTTTGCCCCCTCTCTCCCCTTTTCAAGTCCTGCCTGAAAACTTTCCTCTTCGACCACCCCCCCTTCCGCCCCTCGGCTTGGAGTCAGGCTCCGCCACTGTTAAGTGCTCTGAGACACCACCCTGCAAGTTATTTTTGTTGTGCTTACGGCAACTTCTCCCTCCCCTCCCGGCTCAACGGCAACGCTCCACCACTGTAAAACGCTCTGGGACGCTACCCTGTGCGAGGGGCGCTATATAAATGCAAGTTGTTGTTGTTATTGCTCCCATGATAAGTGATTGTCCGAGTACCAGCTGGAGGGGCAGGTGTTTGAAAGCGGGAGTGGGTTGCTCCTCAAAGTCAATTCTCCTCATGCTCACTCTTTATGCTCCTCATGCTTCTTTTGTACATAACATTTTGAGTTAGTAAGATAGGAATGTTTGAGTAATTATTGCACTGAAGCATGTTTTTTAATCCACAAAGTTTATCCCAAAATGGACCCAATGGAGATTTCACATTGGGTGAGAGACTGACGGCTATCTGGCCATTTTTGATGTTTGGTTAAAAAGCTCTTGTCATGTTACAGTTGAAATGTAAACCAAACTCTTTGTATTTTTTTTCACCTATCCTTAACAAGGGTTGATCAGTCCATGTTTTTCCGGGAATGATTCAGCTCCTGATTTCCAAACCGGAGCACAGTGAAAACCGACCCCAGTGTCCCAAAAGTGGTGCAAGTTGACAATTTAGCTGTAATTTTTTTTACTCAGCTCTTCAATTTGGGAAACACAAATGCAAGTCATTCCCTAAGAATCGAGGCATGACATCACAAGTATTTGATCACAAATATTAGTCAACCTTGAGGAACTGCAAGATCAATAATTTGGAGCACTTTGAGCTCACAGGCTAGGCTGGCTCCCCAGTGCAGTGTTGCACTAGCACTACATTGTCAGAGGTATCGTTCTGAAACCTAGGCCCTGAGTGCCTGTTCAAGTGGATGTCAAAGATCCCATGGCGCTAGTCAAAAAGAAAATGGAATTTCTCTCAGTGCCTTGGCCAACAATCCCCAGATAAAATTGTTCAATCACTTTATAACTGTTTGTGAGGCATTGTGTGCAAATTTGCCTACAAAATACATAGTCACTCCACTTTACAGTAAATCCTGTGAGCTCTTTGAAGTGTCCTCTCAACATGAATGGCATGATATCAATTGTAAGGGTTATTATTATTACATGCGGCCATATAAGAAAATTCCTGAAACATCTAACTTTCACCTTGGCCGAAGTCCCAAATGTAAAACAAGCTTTGCTTCATTCTGTCGTTCTTGGTCAGACACTGAAGAGTAATTTTTGGCAGGGAATCAAACAGTTGGAGACGAGCTCTTGTGGTACAATATAATATGAAATTATTAATGATTAAAATAAGCTACATTTTCTTTTGATCTCCGACCTGAATCTGTTCAAAATTGAAAAACTGCAGATACAACTTGATGAAAATAATACAACACCTCATCACATTGAAACTTAAAATCCTTTATGCCATGAATTCCTTTGAAGTGTAATGAATGTTCAGGAGGCAAACATGACAGCTACTCTGCACCAGTAACATCCCACAAACAGCAATGAGATAAATGACCAGTTAATCTGGGTTTGACCCATTTGGATGAGTGAGGATTATTGGCCAGTATGCTGGGAGAACTCCCTGCAATAGGGTGTTCAAATTCCATCTGAAAATCACCACAACAGGCAGATAAAACAATATTTTTTAGTGTTTAATCTTAAGAAATGCAGCAGTCCTGCGGTACTGTTAAAATTCTTATTATTTATAACTTTTCAAAACCTAATTTCAGTTTCATGCTCTTATTATCAAGGTTGCAAAATCTAATAGAAGTCATCACAGAAATTTGACAACTAGAAGAAACATATCCTTTGCACGCAGCTGAACATGCCCCGCTTCATATCACCCAGAACTCTTCACTTCCAAAGAGGTGCCAGAATATCTGAGGTCAGAACCACAACAGATAATCAGGTGGGAATTAGAAGGGAGACACAATTGACAAGATTAAGAGTTGAGGGAGAGATGAAAAATTGGGTGAGACAAGTACAGTCCTTAACACATCATATTCAAGACTATCGTGATAATCTCTGCACCCACATCACCCCAATCCTTGCCAGGTTCCACTGGCTTCCTGTTGCAGAAAGGATCGATTTCATGATCCTCACACTTGCCTACAAACCCCTTCATGCCCTAGCACTTGTACCTCTCCAACCTGGTAATACTTCACTCCTCTACCTTGCATCCCTCGACTTAAGGTCCACCATCAGTGGCCATTCTTTCAGCCACTATGCCCCGAACCTTTGGAATTCCCTATCCAAGTCCTTCCAACTTGTCCCACATTTGCCTGCCTTCCTCTCTAACTGTGCCTATGGCCCCCTCCCTTATGTCTGTAGTTTGGTGTTGAATTACACCATTGTTAAGCACTCTGAGATGCTTACCTATCAGAAGAACACTACGTAAATGCAAGTTGTTGTTGTTTATAAGATTGGGTTTGTAGCAACTCATTTGGTTTGGGATGAAAGATGAAATGGCCTTTTGTTCTGTAAATGTCTATGGTTTTTGCAACAATGACTAAATTAAATCTCAAACGAGGCTGCATATTTGAAAAAGGGTTTATTTTACACATATTCTGTGGCACTTATTAAAAGAATGTTAAACTATTCTATCTCAAAGTGTTTATCAGGATTTTACTGTGAAGTGCAGTGACTGTGTATTTTTTGGCAAGTCAATGTTTCTTTAAGGGAAGAAAGAAATGTAATATCTGAAATAGTAAAGCAGTTCAGACCCTAGTCACTGTAGGAGCTCTGTCAAGAGCAATCCTTTCAGTTCCTTTCAGTTATGGCAGAATACATGATATTGCAAGACCAAGACCAAGAATTCAGCAGCGGTGTTCAACTGCTGTAATGCCTGTGGTGCCTGTGAGTTGTCCTGGATCCGAAGCAACCCCTTAAGGATATTTAGATATTAATTCAGGCTCTTTAGAGCAGCTGAACATATTACTTTCTCATTACCGGTTACAAATAGAGCTTCAAGAGAGATAGGCCAAGCCATGGTGTGGCTAGTATTACTGATGAGTATGTTTTTTTTATGATCAACCGGGTGCCTGACACATGAAGAAACCCATCACTGGTGCTTATGAATATCCAAAGCAGACAGAGTTCCATGTATGCACATTGAAATTGTAGTGTCTA